TAGACTGACCTCAGCAAGATGTTTGCTACACCCGGATTAGAACTGACTGATCAATCTTGCTTGGATGTGGTCGAAGGCGCGGTTCCCACCACCTCCACAAATCGCCTAGGCAGGAACTTTATTGGGTACACTACCTGGTTCACTCTGATGAAGGACATAGTCAGTCTCGAGGCGATAAACCTCGTCTCCACAACAGGCAGCAAAAAGCCCATGGGCGGCAAGCGGTTCAAAGGCAACAAACGTTTTGTTGTGCATGACCTGTTGGAGGCTGAAGAGGAGGCCGATGCAGATGACCCCACTCTTGGTGACGACCAAGAACAGGACACTGATACAGCCTGTTCGTCAGCCCATGAGTCTGATGTAAACCAAGAAGAAGAAAAATTTACTGCCTTTAAAAAGACTGCCAATGCAAGGGGACCGAATCGGAATGCAGGGAAGAACTATGTCAAACTTCCGAAGGGAGTCAAAATCCCAGCAAAACCGGAGGATGAGGCCACTAAACCGTGGGTCGACCTCCGGATCACTGAAAATGACTAACAGGGTAGACTCAAGAAGGGGGTATGCCTGCATTGCCAGAAACCGAACCATAAGGTACAGGATTGCTATAGGCTGCAGGGAAACCAGACCCAGGTGTAGAGTCGATTTCAACACACTCTACAGCAAGGGAGACTGACTCTGATGCAAATCAGCAGTTGTCCCTTGAAGCCCAGTCATTTGTTGAAGCCAAGGTTGAAGTGTGTGATGTTTTGTATATCGACCCTTGGGAGGAGTCTGGGACGGTCGACTTCCACTACCACTTGGAGCATTGGGCTGAGATGAAACAGCAGCGGGCCCAAGGGACAGTGAAGTTGATCTTCTTCATACTTCTCATAAACCACCGCTATCTCCGTGTCTTGATTGACTGTGGTGCTACGACTAACTTTATATCACCTCATGGGATACGCAAAGTGGGCTTGGGAATGAAGCAGGTGGCCTTGCAGAACCCTTGCCGAACCCAAGTTGGCAACAAAGAAGTTGTCTCTTCTACGCATGCAGTCAAAGGTGTGCGCACTACCTTTGACAAGGACAAAATTGTCACCCACGCGTTGAACTTCTATGTCCTTGACAAGTGCCCCTTCGACTGTAGCGGACCTCGGGTTGGCCTGTGAGACCAGCCCCTTGGCCTGTTCTCACAGGCCTGTGTTGTATTCGGGGTAGGCCAGTCTAGGCCGGTACCTCTGTCGGTACCAGCCAGTCCAGTCCAGTCCAGTCCCGTCAGTCCGCTGGGGTATACCCCAGCCATTGTCTGTTTTCAGTGGCATTCTTCACTTGCACATTTTGGAGTACGTGCGTTGGAGTCTTGCGTGGGGAGCTGCGTTGTGCCATCTCGCTCCCCCCTTCTTCCTCCATCTCCATCTGTATCGCTAGCGGAGCACCACACCTGGTGGATCCGCTACATTGGTATCGGAGCGGGAACTGTTCCCGCTCCCACCCACCACCCCGTACAGTTGTCCAGCAGTCCGCACAGCCGGAATACAGCAAACCCGACAGCGGGTTTTTTCGGTGTTTTTCGGCCGTTTTGCAGCGAAAACAAAGGGAAAAAAGGTGGCGCCTGCTGCAGGCGACACGTGGCGAAAAAGGGAGGCGCCACCACGAGCAAGGCCAAGGCCGCTGCACGCGCGTGCACGCCACGCTGCCCCGCCCCGCCCCACTCCCGGATTTATATTATCAAGATCCGGGAGTCTTCCTGCTGCTGGGGTTTGAACCCAGGTGGCTGTCGGGCCATGGGCGTGCGTGAGCACCCTGCTAACACACTCGCCACAGAGTGT